GGCAATACAAAAGTCTTTACCTCCATCCCACATCGGGTATGAGTCGTCTCCCTCCCTGCCATATAAGTGAACACTTCCTATGGAGGAGGTACTCACTAGCCCCTTGATCAAGTGGCTAGTGGGTACCTCCCTTTTATGTAAGGGGTAGAAATCGTTACGGATTTCAGCTCTCCACTCGAAGGATTTCGGTTGACCTGACAGCACCGAGCCTCAGTAGCCTTTACCTTTCTTTACCAATAGGACCTTTTCCTAAGGCAATCTCACATCGGAAGACAGTCGTCTCCCCCCTGCCATATAAGTAAACACAATAGGACCCTTTCCTAAGGTAATCCCACATCGGACAGTCGTCTCCCCCCTGCCATATAAGTGAACACAATAGGACAATTTCCTAAGGTAATCCCACATCGGAAGAGAGTCGTTTCCCCCCTACCATATAAGTGAACACTTCCTATGGAGGAGGTACCCACTAGCCACATCAAAAGAGAGAGAGTCGTCTCCCCCCTGCCATATAAGTGAACACATCGGAAGAGAGAGAGTCGTCTCCCCCTGCCATATAAGTGAACACTTCATATGGAGGAGGTGTCCATTAGCCATGGAGGAGGTACCCTCACTTATATGGAGGAGGTGCCCACTAGCCACATCGGAAGAGAGTCATCACTCCCCCTACAATATAAGTGAACACTTCCTATGGAGGAGGTACCCACTAGCCCTGCCATATAAGTGAACATTTCCTATGGAGGAGGTACCCACCAATATAAGTGAACACTTCCTATGGAGGAGGTACCCACTAGCTCTGCCATATAAGTGAACATTTCCTATGGAGGAGGTACCCACTACCCACTAACTCTCTTTCGATGTGTGCTAGTGGATACCCCCTCCATAGGAAGTATTCACTTATATGACAGGGGGGAGAAGTACCCACTAACACTTGATCAAGTGGCCATAGGAAGTGTTCACTTATATGACAGGGGGGAGAAGTACCCACTAGCACTTGATCAAGTGGCTAGTGGCTAGTGGGTACCTCCTCCATAAGAAGTGTTCACTTATATGGTAGTGGCTAGTGGGTAGTGGGTACCTCTTCCATAAGAAGTGTTCACTTATATGGTAGAGGGGAAGACGACTCTCTTTCGATGTGTGCTAATGGGTACCTCCTCCATAGGAAGTGTTCACTTATATGACAGGGGGAGACAACTCTCTTTCGATGTGGGATTGCCTTAGGAAAGGGTCCTATTAGCGAAGAAACATCGGAAGAGAGTCGTTTCCCCCCTGCCATAAGTGAACACTTCTTATGGAGGAGGTACCCACTAGCTACATCGAAAAAGAGTTGTCTCCCCCCTTTCCATATAAGTGAACATTTTCTATGGAGGAGGTACCCACTAGCACTTGATTAAGTGGCTAGTGGGCACCTCCTCCATAGGAAGTGTTCACTTATATGGCAGGGGAGGAGACGACTCTCTTCCGATGTGGGATTGTCTTAGAAAATGGTCCTATTGGCCAAGAGAGATAAAAGTTATTGGGGCTCGGTACCACCAGGTCAGCCAGAATTCTTGGTGTTCAGGGATGAGATCTGAACGCGTAATTTCTACCCCTAACATAAAAGGTGCCTCCTCCATAGGAAGTGTTCACTTATATGGCAGGGGGGAGACGACTCTCTTCCGATGTGAGATTACTTTAGGAAAAAGTCCTATTGGCGAAGAGAGGTAAAGGCTACTGGGGCTCGGTGCCGCCAGGTCAGTCGGAATCTTTCGAGTGGAGGACTAAAATTCCGTAGCGATTTCTACCTCTTACGTAAAAGGCGTCTTTTATGGATCAAGTGGCTAATGGATACCCTTTCCATTGGAAGTGTTCACTTATATGACAAGAGGGAAACGACTCTTACCCGATGTAGAATAGAAGTAAAGGCTACTATATTATTTTAAGAAATGGTGTAAGTCAGCCAGAATCTTTAGTGTTCAGCAATGAGATCCGAACGCACAATTTCTACCCTAAAATAAAAGACACTTTTTATGTAAGGGATATAAATCACTACGGGTACGCAAAAAAATTTACCATTATATCACATTTACTAACGACCTTAAAATTTAACAACAGGGTGACGGTTAAATCAACCGCTAACATCTGACAATTAAGTTCGTTATCACTTGCGTTGCTTAGTGTTTCCTACAAGTTATTAGCGCCGATCAAAATCACTCTTTATTGTTTGCTTAGGTAGTGTTCGGTAATCAGGAGTTTTTGTTTTTAATTTTTATCAAAATAAAAACACGTCTGGAGTGTATTTTCATTTTTTTTTAGGGTACTGTGTTTTAAAAACAAGGCCCAAAAATAAAAACATAGAAAAAGGTGTTTTCATAAACACCCAAAAACGAAAACACGTACGCTCAAAGTAGACCCCTTTTAATGCGATCCATCTTTCGAATCCCCTTAGAAACAAAATGTAGGATTTTTTGTGCTAAGTATAAAAGACCAATTTACTCCCCTTTTTTCATCACTTTTCCTCGTCATCTCTCTCTCTCTTCTTTCCCTCTTTAAAACCGGAGCTTCTCATCTCTCTCTCTCTCTCTCTCTCTCAATCTCTCTGAAAACTTGATAGTCCTCGTCTCTCTCTCTGTGAAAAAGTGTCCCACGAAGGCAGAACCGAAGCTTTCTCACGAAGACGAATCAAAGCTTTCCCACGAAGGCAGACCCCTTTTTAGACGGTGGTTATGTGATGGGTTTTCTCATCTCAGATCTCTCTCTCAAGCTCAGTCGGTGGTCAGGTGTCGAGTTTTTAGGAGTGCTGGTGGTTGGTTAGGTGGTTGTGGTGGGTTTTCGAGCGTTGGGGGGGGTGAGTTTTCAGTGGTGATTGTGATGGCTTTTCCAGGGTTGGGAAGTGAGTTTTTAATGGTGTTGGTGGAGAATTTTCGGTAATTTTGGTGGGGTATTTTTAGGGATTTTGTGGCGAGTATTCAGGGGTGTTGGTGGTGGCTAAACAGGGGTGCTGGTGGTAGGTTTTCGGTGATTTTGGTGATAGTTTTTCAGGGGTGTTGGCCGGTGGATACATAGGTGGGTTGAGTGGTGGCTAAACAAGGGTGGTGGTGGTGGGTTTCCGGTGGATTGGTGTGGCAATGGTGGCTAGGTGAAGTGGGTTTTCATTGATTTGGGTGGAGATGTATTTATGATTAAAAAATTGATCAATATAGCCAAAATGAATTATGAAAGCGCTATTATAATATTATATATTTTTTATTTTTTATTTTTATAATTTTTTAAATATAAATAATTATGACTCATGTTTATATATTTAATTTTTATCGCACAAAAAAAAACTTGTTCTTTTTTTTAAAAAATAAAAAATAAAAACAAAAATTTTATCAAAGTACCCTTAGTCTTGCATCACGCAATAATTCAATACTAATTGTCTCGTCGTGGATAATGGCCAACTTAAAGTTTGTACGCGACTTTGCGCTACCACGTCAACTAGATTTCTTTAGTATCGCCCCTATTGGGGATAATAAGTCTATGATAATCCGGAAACATGGCACCATACTGAAATAATTTGTTGTCATAGATTTTTGTTTGATTTATTTTTAACCATTGATTGTAAAAATAATGTAATAAGTTGACTTTATACATGTGTCATTTTTATGAAACTATAAATGAAAATATAGGGTTTGTTTGGATTTGACTTTTTGAGGTGAAAAATTGCGATTTAAAAAGTTTTGCAACAAAATTATAGTTAAAAAAATCCTACAAAACTGTTTGGGGTATGCTTTAGAAAGATAAAAAAATTGAAAAAGTCCGTTTGAAGTGATTTTTTAGTTTTTTTGTGTCAAAATAAAAAAATATAATTATATATATGTATAAATTATACATAATAATTCCCAAAATATGAATTTCAAATTTGTTTACATTATTAATAATATTTTTTGACTATAATAAAATAAAAAATTATGTGGGGCGCTTGACAAAACTCTAAAAAATCAAAAGAAAAATTCATAAAATCAGGTTCTTGAATCAACCTAAATAAGTCTTTTTTTTGTCTAAAAAAACTGTTGCATAAGCTAATAAAAAAAGTTAAGACCCAAACAGACCTGATTTTATTTTATTTCAAATCCTTTAAAAACTACATATTTAAGTTAGTTCTAAACAAACCCATAGTACAGAAAATTAATTTTTTTAATATAAAAAATTAATTTTTAGTATTATAGTTGAACCCTAGTATTGGATTGCTGAGTTTTCAACGATTAGGTTGGCAACTTGAGATGAGTCCACATCACATTGGTCTATAGGTTGGTGAAATTTTTTATAGGGCTATTCAACCGTATGCCTTCTTGACTGTGGAAGCTCACTTACCCAATAGGCCCAACTTAACAATTGTCATCCTTTAGTGGTACTAGACCTTCTCCATTGAATCAAAAAACCTCATTCTATTTGAGCTTTAACGAAAAATATAATAATAACATTAAGACATAATTGTTTGATCTAAATCCATCACAGTCATTGATTGGTAGCGGGTCTTCATAGATATTGGAACCTGCTATCAATCAAATGGTTATGAGTGATTAGGTCAATATATTAGATTAATAAATTAACTCAATGTAAAATTGTTAAAAAAAAAAAGATGCATGGAATAAATCTATCATTATTATGTTAGCTCTAGGCGATCAAAGTGATTGCATAGGGACACCACTTACCTAGGGCCCCATTGGCCTAAACCAACATTATGATACAACTAATTGTTTCTAAAAATATAAAACGATTTAGGATTTCACTTTATATGATGAAATACAGGATTAGAGAACTTATGTCTAATAACTTAGTCTTAAGGGGTTGTCAAAATTCGAACTCAAAATTTCTGAAATTACATCTCATTCTTGTTACCACATGAACCACCTCTTGAAGTTAACATGATTCTTTTTCATATAGCAAGTAACATCCTCCAAATGCCCCCCCCCAAAAAAAACACACACACACACACAAACACAAACACAAAAGAAGATAAGAATTGAATTGAACCAAGTAACAAACACCAATAACATCCATTTGGGGCAAGCATTCTCTTCCCAAGTATGCCTGTAAAATAGTATAAAATCGATTGGGCACTTCATCATACTTCATTCAAGTGCCAAAACATTACACTTCTTAACCCAGGATACAAAGAAAGGTAAACAAACACCAATAACAAAATGCAGTGGGGGCTTCATCGTACTTCATACGAGTGACAAACAAAATATTACAAAGGCTCTAGCTAGTAAACTACAATGGTGATCTCAGGTTTCAAGATGAGAGTACTACAATCTGTACAAGCGCCCACAAAAGATTTTGTGGGATGAACCAAAAATCTCCACCCAAAATGACCATTCTCCGATCATCAAGGGCTCGGATTTATATTTTCTGTTGTTTGTCCCTCAATTCATCTTTCTCGCTACCACCATCTTTAGTCACCTTGATGCCAACTAATTTACAAGGCTCAGCATCTTCCAGCATATGAACTACTGTTCTCATGGTAGGCCTCAGCACTGGAAGCCTTGACGTGCACAGAATGGCTATTTTCAAAACCTTGATAGCCTCTTCTTTGTAAGCTTCTGGGATAGTTGAGTCCACCAAGCTTAAAACACTCTCTTTGCTCGTCATCTTGCTGCAAACCCAATTCAGTATGTCCTTGTTCTCTCCATACTCCGGCTCAATCGGTCTTTTTCCAGTCACAAGCTCCATCAAAACCACCCCAAAACTATACACATCGCTCTTCTCATTAACTTTGATAGTGTATCCATATTCTGCACAAACAAGTTTATTTTTGGGTAAGTAATTAAATTCTGCACAAAGATAACAGTATATGAACATCCACAGAACTATAATCATAACCAATATCAGCAATTACTAAATTTAGCACAAAAAAGGAGAGTACCGGGGGCAATATATCCATATGTTCCTGCGATAACATGCGTTGAATCCTTGCTTACATTGGCCTGATCAATCTTAGCAAGCCCAAAATCAGCAATCCTGGGCTTCAAAAACTCATCCAACAGAATGTTGCTAGACTTGACATCCCTGTGAATCACCGGCCTCTCGCATCCATGATGCAAATATTCCAATCCTTTCGCTGCACCCAGAGCTATGTCATACCTCGTCTCCCAATCCAACACCATCTTTCTATTTGTGTGCAATCGATCCCATAAACTCCCATTTGGCAAATATTCATACACCAACAAGCTCGAGTCCTCGCTAGTAATGCTGCAGTACAACTTCACCACATTAACGTGCCTTATTGAGCTCAATGTTTGTACCTCGGCATCAAATTCACGGGACTTCCCACCACGTTTTGTCAGCATCGGAGTAGTACTACCTAGCTTTTTCCGGCTACTGGAATGATGGGAGTTCCAAATGTGTTTCACTGCTAGTTGTTTACCATTAGCTAGTACAACTTTATACACATTTCCTGAGCCACCTTTTCCTATTAAATTCTCTTGCTTGACTGAATCAAGAATCTCCTCTTCTGTGAAGCTCAACAGATGGAAAGATTTGACATCCCAAGAATCTTCCTTCCATGAACGTTCATGGTGTTTTTGACTCTTCTTTAAGTACAAGAAACATCCAAGTGACACAAGCATGGCCATTGCACCCATCGTAAAGCACACGATAAGCGTATTGAGCTTCCCAGACCGCCCGGATTCTGAAGAACACCTTCGAATATACTTGATGTTCTTACTACAAAGACCATCATTTCCTGCAAAACTACCATTGTAGGCTCCAACTGAAAGGGATTTGGGAATAGGACCGGTCAACCTGTTGTTGGTAAGATCAAGAAGGCTTAACTTTAGAGATGACATTCTTGCCGGAATTCGACCGGAGAGTTGATTATCCGACAAATTTAAGGAGTTGAGAGCCGGTAAAGACCCGAGAGACGATGGAATTTCGCCGGAGAGCGAATTGTGTGCCATGTTTATGTCGCTTAGAGAACCACAAAAGCCTAATGAGACCGGGATTGAACCAGAAAGAATATTGTCCTCTAAATGAAGACTGCTAAGCTGCTTTAGTTCCCCAATTGTTGTTGGGATTTCACCGGAAAATTGATTGTTACCCAAATCAATTAAAATCAAGGCCGAAGATTTTGAAATCTCCGGCGGCAATTTACCGGATAACCGGTTATTAGAAACAATTAATTGAGCCAAAGACTTTGCATATTCAATGTCGGAAGTTATAGGCCCTTCCAATTCATTCATCGCAATGTCAATAATTTCAGCATTTGGCAGTCCCCAAATTCCGCTAGGAACCACACCGGTAAGTGAATTCTTACTCACCCTGAAGCGCGTTAACGTCGTACAATTCGCGTAACTCGCCGGAATTCCACCGGTAAAGTTGTTCTGGAGCATCAGGAGCTGAGTCATCGTTCCCTTCTTGCACATTTCTGGTGGGATCGGACCCGTCAGAAAATTCTCCGAGACGTCAATAAAGTCGAAGTTCGCCCATGAACCAAGCTTCTGCGGAAGCGAACCCTTAAGATTGTTACCATACAGCGAGACGTTCACGAGCCTTTTGAATTCCCCAAGCTCCTGTGGTATTTCGCCGGAAAACTGATTGTGAGCAAGCTGTAAACTCACCAATTGATTCAAGAACCGCAACTCCGAAAGATCGCCATAAAGATGATTATACGAAGCATCAAACATTTCAAGACTCGTAAGCTTCCCAAACCCAACCGGAAGTGTTCCGGTCAAATTGTTTTCATAGAGCTCAAGCTGCCATAGCTTCCCAAGCTTCGTAATCTCCACCGGAATTTCACCGGAAATATAATTTTGCGACAGCTCTAACTCAATAAGCTCGCTGAGATTTCCAATTTCCTTCGGAATTTGCCCTTCAATACTACAATTTGTCAGATAAATCCAATTCAGTTTCGTAAGCTTCACCAATTCTTTCGGAAATGGAGTCCGATCAAAAGGGTTGTCTCCGAGGCTCAACCCAACAAGACCTGTCATATTTTCCAGCGAATTCCATGGAAAAGTTCCTGAAAATCCACTAGCATTTGCGTACAAATAAACCAGTCCATTCATCGAAGAAATATCTGGAAATGACCCAGAGAAGAAATTGAAGCCAAGATCCAAGTACTTCAGCCCCACACACATGTTCAAATCCTCCGTGACATGTCCGTACAACAAATTTTTCCCGAGGGAAAGCTTTTCCAATGATTGGAGTTCGCATATGGAATCGAAAGGAACCAAACCGGTTAGATGTTGTTTGGAGAGCTCGATTTCTTTGACAGAGCCGTCCAAATTGCAAGCGATTCCTGCGAAGTTACATATACTATTATTCGATTCCCAGGAATCAAATATGTTGGTGTTTGAATTTGAGAGGGCGGTTTTGATATTTAACAAGACTTGGAGCTCGTCGGAGTTGGCGACGAAGAAGAGGCAGAGAAGATAGAGCAGAAAGAGAAAGGGGAGGTTTCGCCGGGAAATGCATGCCGCCGACATGTCAGGCGTTTGGTTCGACAGAGAGAAAATTAATGTCGGTCTTTTCAAGAAGACGAGAATGGGAAGGAAGCTGAAGAGCCCGCCATTTTAACAGACTCTGCTATGTTTCACGCTGACTTTGTATAACGGCGTTTTTATCACTTTCTATCCTAAAAGATTTTTATTTTATGTCTTCGAATATTAAATTTTTTATAATACTTTTAATTAATTAAAATTATTGTAATGTGGCCCTTCTTTTAATTTCTATTTTTTTTTTATCAAAAACCAACCTATTGATACTTATGAAAAAAATAACAAAAAATTAACATAAATATCATATTAATTTAATCTTTAAAAGTACAAAGTGAGAATCATAAAATATTTCAAGATAAAAAATAAATTTTGCCCTTAAATTAAATAATAAATTAGGGTTGAATAATTAATTTATATTTTAATTATTGTTAAATTTAATTATTAATATATTATATAAGTTTTTGAGGTATTTTATCATTTATTTGGATATCTCTTCAACCCCTTTAGGCATTTGCATATCTCATTATATTATAGAATTATTAATTTTTATTCTTTTTAATAGGTTGGTTAGATCGTTTATAATATTGTTATATTATTATATACCAAAAAAATAAATATAATATATATTTGACTGTAAAATTTAATTTAATATTTACATGTTATAATAATTTAACATATATAAGATTTTTCTTCTTCATATATATATATATAATTGTGCTACTAACAAATGAGTTTAAAAAAATTTAGAAATACAAAACAAATTGACTCGTAGTTTATATTTTAAAAAGGTAATTTCTTCACAAAAGTAAAAGCATGAGCATGATTTGTAGTTTATATAATATAATAGTCATTAATTTAACAATTGAATAGTCAAGGTGATTTTTCTTATTAAAAAAATCTAAGATTATTCTTTTTTCCCACAAGGAATAATAAACCCAAAGAGCACATACCTAAATTAAAAAAATAAAATAAATTAGAGCTGGCTATGAACATAATTCACTCCCACCGATCAACTATCAGTTATACCACGGCACCAATCCACTGTCTAGTAGTTATATTCGGAACAAGGTACACTTTCTATTGTTTACACAAAAATACACTATAAATATCCACTGGATAATTTCTACAATAGTTTGAGACAACGATCTCTAAGTTAGCGAACTTGAAACAATAGGATCAAAAAAAGGGGATCAGGTGAGCACTCAACTTATTCCTTCCAAAGNTGGCAAACTTGAAACAATATGATCAAAAAAAGGGGGTCAGGTGAGCACTCAACTTATTCCTTCCGAAGCTTAAGTCAGTCTAAGGTCGAAGGGTTTAACTCAATGGACACTCTTTTTCCGGTTTAAGTTTACGTACATTTGTCCATTTTTCTGAGGAGTATTTATACCTGAATTAATAATGATTGCCAAAGATCTCCAGTCTCATCTAGACATCTTACATTTGACACACTATTCCTCATGCAATGAGTGTTTTATACTCACGTTTCCTCCTATTAAATGCTAGGAAGATGGGATAAATGCTCGGCCCTCTCTGGAGTACCCAAATCCCTCAGATCAGCATTTGACATCAACTGAGCATTGAATACTCGAGGGAACAGTTCCTTGGGGGGAGTCGATCGCGTCATCTCGGTGCGTTAGTCATTAATGCTTAGTCATCATTACAGTAGGCCTAGAATCCTACAGTGCAGGTNTTAAAAAAATCTAAGATTATTCTTTTTTCCCACAAGGAATAATAAACCCAAAGAGCACATACCTAAATTAAAAAAATAAAATAAATTAGAGCTGGCTATGAACATAATTCACTCCCACCGATCAACTATCAGTTATACCACGGCACCAATCCACTGTCTAGTAGTTATATTCGGAACAAGGTACACTTTCTATTGTTTACACAAAAATACACTATAAATATCCACTGGATAATTTCTACAATAGTTTGAGACAACGATCTCTAAGTTAGCGAACTTGAAACAATAGGATCAAAAAAAGGGGATCAGGTGAGCACTCAACTTATTCCTTCCAAAGCTTAAGTCAGTCTAAGGTCGAAGGGTTTAACTCAATGGACACTCTTTTTCCAGTTTAAGTTTACGTACATTTGTCCATTTTTCTGAAGAGTATTTATACCTGAATTAATAATGATTGCCAAAGATCTCCAGTCTCATCTAGGCATCTTACATCTGACACACCATTCTTCATGCAATGAGTGTTTTATACTCACGTTTCCTCCTATTAAATGCTAGGAAGATGGGATAAATGCTCGGCCTTCTCTGGAGTACCCAAATCCCTCAGATCAGCATTTGACATCAACTGAGCATTGAATACTCGAGGGAACAGTTCCTTGGGGGGAGTCGATCGCGTCATCTCGGTGCGTTAGTCATTAATGCTTAGTCATCATTACAGTAGGCCTAGAATCCTACAGTGCAGGTACTTGCAGGCGCGCATTTATTTATTTTATCACTATCACTCATTCCGCCATAAATGAGAGGTCACATCGCATTAAATACGATGTCAGCTGTCGTACTCAATTGTTCCGTGTCACCATACCTCGGCTTATCTCCTCGGCGCCCTTTGGACATCCCAACGACTTCATTATCCCACGCGTCAACCTGGGGGCTATAGAGCCACCTAGAGTCCCGCCAACTGCCCCCCAGCTGCCATTCTTTTCGCAGTGTAAGACAAGTGGCGTAAAGAGATTGGGGACTCAATCATCACGCCTTATTAATAGTGACGGTTACTTGCACGTCTGGTGCCGCCCTTTTCAAATGGCCGAATGATGACACAACTTTTTGATTCTTGCTCCCTCTAAGACAGTATAAATAGAAGGTTTTCATGCCTTCTCAAAACTTTTGTATCCTCAGCCTCTCTTCAGCAATCAAACCTCGAGTACTCCTTTGTTTTTCGAGCTCCCTTTACGAAGACTACCTTCTTGTAAGTACTTCCACTAGAGTTTTTTCTTTCTTCATTTCCTCTACATTTCTTCCTTTTAGCACCCACCAATAGCCAGAACTAGTAGAACTAGGGGGAGACATCCGTTAGGGCTAGGGCTACCCATAAGACTAGGAGAACTCAAGTGACTGATGAGAACATCCAAGCTTTTAGAGTTAGGTACCACATTCATGAGCCCGTCTTCGCCTTCTCCTTTAACCCTATTCACAACAAGAGGAATATGATAAGTGTGGACATGATGCCTTTCTGGACGAAGGTCATCATGGTAGGAGAGTTGATCTTCCCTCTCCATTCCCTATTGCTGGGAGTGTTGATACAACTGAAGCTCTTCCCCCTTCAATTTGGGGTTAACTTCTTTAGGATTGTGATGAGCGTAGTCGCCCTAAATGCTCGGCTGGGGACCAACTTAGGAGTAGATAAAATTTTATTCTGCTACAACCTGAGGTTAGTCGCCAGGGGGGGATACTACCTCTAGGCTCGAGACACCTCAGTATATCTGATAACCCACATGTCTGACTCGGACAAGCGGTATAGAGACGATCTGATCATGCTAGGCGAAAGTTGGGAGAAAAGAACAGGGCCCAAGTATGATAGATTGTACTGCCCCAAAGTGCCGAGAGATGAATGTGTGTTTTCGTCTTGACTTGTATTGATTTTGCTATTTTTGGGCCTGAAAGATGCACTGATTTTGCTTTGCTTTTGCAGAAGGATATCGTTGGGAAGCTGCTCAAATCCGATTTGCTGACCTGCTAAGGGTTTAGTCCTTAGACCCAGTTGAGCGAGCGACCCATACTCTCCTCGGCTACACGCCAACTTACAGTCGATTCTCCTAGATCCCACCTTCTTTCAACCCTTCTCTTTGGGAAGATCATTCCTCGTCGGTACAGAAAGAATCCGAGGGAGATTCTAAAGCAAAGTCTGATCATCCTGTCTCCAGAGTCCCTCGTGCCTGAAGAAATATTTAATCCACCACCAGTCACCGTTGCTACAAAGGAGGCCGCCTCCGCGACAAGGAGAGCCAGGCTCACCGGGTTGGTTGGGTCATCCAACACTACCCCAATAATTCCATCACCAAGTTCTCCTCAGCGTCAACCACCCCCGTCGTTTCCACGTCACCAACCATCCAGGGAATCAGTCGTGCCGACTAGGCAAAGGTCTCAATCTCAATAAGTCTTCGCTCTGGGGTATCGGTCGAGGGACCGACAGGCTCAGGATACCGAGCAATCTAAGGAGCATCGTGTGAAGCAGCGGCATGACGCCCGGGCGAATGGGTCCCTCAGGCCGAGACCAGAGCAGCCGCCTCATCTTGGAAGCCAACTCCATCCTCCAGTCCCCCGAAGTGGCCTTTGTCGTCGTGGGGACGTTTCAATTTGATGCCGATATGGCCGTATACAAAGGCTATTCAGACAATTGGCTTCTGATGAGTACTATCCAAAACAACTTGGTGGTAAGTCCAATGCTTTCCCGAGTATTCCTTGCACCCTTTTGGTCGTTCTCTAATAGTCCTCCTTTTTCAAGCCAGCCAGCAGATGGGGTGCCATAATTGAGCATTTTTGAGAATACAAATAAGAGGCGAAGAATGCCAAGCGAGCCCTAGTTGCTAAGGACGACCATATCCTTAAGGTCTAGAGGACCCTCGACGACCAGACCAAACATATCGCCGAGCTCATCTGCCAGCGAGATATCATTTATGCCGAGCTGAAAAAGACTCAGGCGGGTGAAGTTGCGATGATAAAGAAGGCCGAGGAGTAAGAACTACGAGTCTCCTCCTCCGAGGTCAAGNATAAGAGGCGAAAAATGTCAAGCGAGCCCTAGTTGCTAAGGACGACCATATCCTTAAGGTCTAGAGGACCCTCGACGACCAGACCAAACATATCGTCGAGCTCATCCGCCAGCGAGATATCATTTATGCCGAGCTGAAAAAGACTCAGGCGGGTGAAGTTGCGATGATAAAGAAGGCCGAGGAATAAGAACTACGAGTCTCCTCCTCCGAGGTCAAGCTGCAAGAGTCCGAGTTTGTAATCAATGAACTTACTACCAAACTGAACTCCTTGACAGCAGAGAAGGCGGGGGAACAGGAAAGGCTGCAGTCAGAATGTCAGAGGGTGTGATTAGCTAC